AAGTTACTTATGACATTCAGGGTGTGGGACAAGATACAAAAAAATGATCTAGATTTTGGGAGCATTTTGAAAATATTGAAGCTGCCAATGAAGCTAAATGTCAGCATTGTAGTAAGATTTACAATTATCATCCAATAAAAACAGGTACTTCATCCTTGTTTTATCATTTAGATCATTGTAAATCATATTTGGCAAGTGTGAATAAGAAAGACACATCTCAATTAAAGTTAATTGGTGCATTCAAAAAAGATAGAGATGGTGTTAGTAGTAACCTTAGTGTTGCTAAATTCAATGAAAAGAAAATTAGGAAGGCAATTGCTACTATGATTATAATGGATGAATTGTAGTTCTGATTTGTTAAAGAAGGATTTAGAGACTTGATGAGGACTGTTGAACCTAGATTTCGTATACCTTTCTGTACCACTGGGATGAGTGATTGTTTGCAATTACATTTGATGGAGAAAGAAAAATTGAAGCATATGTTTGTCTCATCTAGTCAAAGGGTTTGCCTTACTACTGATACCTGGACGTCTATTCAAAATCTAACTTATATGTCCTTAATTACACATTTCATTGATAAAGATTGGAAGTTACACAAACGAATAATCAATTTTTTGAAAGTTCCTAATCATAAGGGTGTGACAATTGAAAGGGAAATTGAAGCATGCATGCTTGAGTGGGGGATAGATAACATATTTATTGTTACAGTGGATAATGCAATTTCTAATTATGGTGCTCTTGATTATTTAAAGAGACGAACTAAGGATGGGAAGAACACTATCTTAGAAAATGAATTTATGCATGTTAGGTGTTGTGCACACAATTTGAATCTAATTGTCATAGAGGGTTTAAAGGAAGTGAAAACGTCAATTTTGAAGGTACGAAATGCTGTTAAATATGTTAAGTCTTCTCCTTCAAGGCTTGACAAGTTTAAGTCATGTGTTGAGAGGCAAAAAATTAGTGAAAAGGGTCTTCTTTGCCTTGATGTTCCAACATGATGAAACTCTACATATTTGATGCTCAAAGTTATTGAATAGTACCAGGGTGCATTTGATTTGTTGCACGAAGATGATGGGCAATTTGTAAGTCAATTGAGTGAGGGGGATGATTTAGGGCCACCTACATTTGATGATTAGGACATTGTTTGTGTGTTTATGGAGTTTTTAAAACTTTTCTATGAAGTCACGTTACGCATTTTTGGATCATTGTATACAACATCAAACTTGTTTTTTTCAAGAACTTTCGACTGTGTATGATCATTTGTCAGGTTATTGTGAAAATGATGATTATCTTTTGAGTACCATGACTATGAGAATAAAAAGTAAGTATGATAAGTATTGGGGTCAGTTAGATAATATTAGTTTGATGTTGTTTGCTGCTATTGTCCTTGACCCACACTATAAATTGGATGCTTTAGAATTTTGGCTCAATTACAATTATAAGGCTGAGGATGAAGTAGTTAAGGTTTAACTAGTCGAAAAGATCAAAAAGATCATTGACCGGTTATGCCAACGGTACACTAGATTTAGTGGGGGTTGTGGAATGAGGTCAAGAGTTGACCATAAGAAAAATGTGTCTTCGGTTGAGATGTTTGTTCAAGATCAAGTACCTACAAATTTTATGAATAGGTACCGTAAGTATAGGGTTGAGCGAGGTAATGTTGACAACAAATCAGAGTTGGATCGATATTTGACAGAGGATGTTGAATTTGTTAGTTTCAATTTTGATATTTTGAATTGGTAGAAGGTTAATTCTTTTCAATCCTTGCCAAAATAGCTCGTGATCTGTTAGCAATGCCCATTTCTACGGTGGCATCAAAATCAACTTTTAGCACTGGAGATCATATTTTAGATCCTTTTCGGAGTTCACTGGGTCCCAAAACAGCTGAGGGTCTCATATGTGCACAAAATTGGCTTCGATCGTCATTCATTGCTTATGGCTTTGAAGATGTTTTGCAGGATTTAGAAAGCTATAAATTATATTCAGGTTTTTATACTTTTATTGTTATTTTTTTATTATTTGTTGATGAGTTCTTCGTATCTAATTTTTTTCATACTCTTTTTTATCTCAGAAATAACTACAGAGAAAATTGCAATTGCTCTTGAGTGAAGAGAGGTGAATGACACAAGCAAGAAATGTGCTATTTAATTTTTTTATATTTTTTTAGTAATTATACAATTATTTGTGTGGTATAATTTATATTATAACATTATTATTGTTGTGGATGTTTGAGTTGCTAAAACATGAACTTGTTTTTTATGTAGGTTACATGATTTGTGGTGAACTGGTGATCTATTGGAGCAATTATGATTTTAATGTATTTTATATGGTTTAAACTTAAAATAATTATTATTGTATTTATGTAACAATTATGATGGATTGATGTTCATACTTTCTTGTGTTTTATTGTAATTGTTATTGTAGTTGTTTTAAATTTTAGTGTTTTTGATTTATTTTGTTAAATTAGTACACGTTATTTAATTGAATTGTTAAAATGATCTAAAAATTAATAACTATAAAAGTGTTTACCCGACTTTTTACCTGATTAATCGGGTAGGAAGTCGGGTAAACACTTTTGTAGCAATTAATTTTTGGTAATCGGGTAGAAAATCGGATAGGAATACCACTCCTGATCGGGTAGAATATGCCAAAAAAAAAATTCTTCCGCAAAGTATCGGGTAGGAAAATAGAAGATTATATTTCCTACCCGTAAGGTAAGGTGAGCACTCCTAATTTTGATACTTATTTGTATCCAAGTACATTAATTAAAATTTCCAAATTTTGTTATAACCTTTATGTCATCTCTTGATCCTTGCGTATTTTTTTTTTTGGAAAGTGATTCTTTTTTCAAATTACATTTATGCATTAAACATCTCATAATTTTATGGGATTACTTTAATATTCCATTTATATATGCATTAAACATCTCATAGTTTTAGGATATATCATTTTGTTTGAATTTCAAATTTGAAACCTTGTCTTTGTGGAGTTAATTGTAAAAAACTATACAGAAAAAAATATAGAGGAAATAAGTCCTTAATTTTAGTTCTTATTTTTGTTCAAGTACATAATTTGAAATTTTCAAATTTTTCTTTGACATTTGTGCTCCCTTAATTCATGCGATTTATTTTTGGAAACTAATTTTTTTTTCATATTATATGTATGCATTAAAAATCTTCTAATTTAATGGAAGATTTGATCCTTCCATTTTTTTTAGGATAAATGTATGCATTAAAAATCTTCTAATTTAATTAAAGATTTGATTCTTTGATTCTTCCTAAATTAATGGAAGATTTGATTCTTCCATTTATTGTGAGGATAAATCAGTTAATTTGAATTTTAAATTTTGTAACAACATCTTTTGTTATTTTAAAAGTGATTATTCTGTTTTTTAATATGCGAACAGCATATCAATGTAACAATAGGAATATAATAAGACATACAAAATATTGTACTATTACATTTTGTTAAACATATATTTGCATATAATTTCATTCAAACAATTCATCTCTATTTTGAATTTGTTACCACATCTACAAAATCACTTAATATTGTCTTTGTTACAGTGTATTGTTACACTGTATTTGTTATAGTGTATTGTTATACTGTTTTTGTTACACTGTGAGAGAAACACAGTCAACAATTAGGAGATACACACATTTTGTTCACACACAATGAATTAATATGGCATAAACACATGGCAAAAACATCGTATTTTACACAAGCCAAGGATCAACTTTCAACAATTGGTTTTGGTCTTCAAATACCGAAGTTTGTATGTATCTTCAAATGTAGAACAAATCTTCAAAAAATAGATATTGTTGACGATCTTACATCAAATGGGTTGAACAATATGATTTTTCCTTCAAAAAACGAAACCCTATAGATGTTCAGGAAACAAAATATTTATGCCAAAAAAAACACCAAAATCAAAATAAATTTAATAATATTTTGATTTTGGATAATCCATGATGTCAATAGAAAAAAAAAGTACATGGAATGACGAAGTTCAACGATCACCTTATTAAACGTAGGTCAACGAGCAACAATCAACGCATGTTTCAGGTTTATAATTGCCGAAGTTTGAAAGTTTCTTCAAATCGCGAACAAAACTTTCATCATTCTTGAGTTTGTGCCAATCAAACTCCAAATCATCTATCAATCGATGTACATTTCACAATCAAAACCCTCTCCTTGTTTATGAAAGATAGAGAGTTGGAAAGTTTCTCCGAAGAAGATGAACTGATTTTTTGTGAGAAAGGAGAACACAGAACGATTACCGAAGATAAAGAGATTTTAAAATAAATGTACCTAAATTTTAGCAGTTAAGATAAATGCATTGTTGCAGTTTTTATGAAAGAAAAGTTTACAAAATGAGTATTTACGTCTTTGTATCTCAATAGTGTATTTTTTTTAAAAAAATAACTTTTTTATATTTCTTTTTACAATTATATCTAATTTAGTGAACTGACTTTAAAAGAAACTTAAAAGATATAAAAGGTATGATTATAATAGAAGTGGTGAGGGGATGGATCAATGAATTGGGCCAGTTGGATTTGACAGAGAATCATAATATGCCATAAACTATCAACTACTATGGCAACTGGATGGATGTGTGACTTTTTTTTTTTTTTTTTTTTTGGGGGGGGGGGGGGGGGGGGGAGGGATGGGGGGTGGTTGTTTCACCGATGATTTCTTGATGAACAGAGTGGAACTTGCATTTTTGGCTGCCATTTATTCCTCTGATTGTAAGTAACTAAACCCCATATTGTAGAGTTGTCTATGATATCATTTTATTTGTTCAAATTAAAATTAGAAGAAATCAATTGTAATATGACCCAAACTTAAAGAGAGCATTTTGTAGTTAACCCATGTATTTAGAATTAGAATTTTTCATAATAAGGTTTTGCTAGTTTTATTATTATATGTGGATACTTAAGTTAGTCAAGTGTAGTTTTTCATTTGCTGATTAGATAAAAGCTTCGGATTGTAGGAGATCAATGGCGCAATTTCACAACCACGAACTTGAATATATAGTTGATGACTACTATGACACTACCGATTTCGCTGATAACCCTTTTGAAGACGATGAATCGCCACGCAGCGGTGGTGTTGATGACTCTTTGGACTCGTACTTTGAGGATGACTTCGAACTGGTAATTTGGATGATGTTATTACCCTATTTGCTCTAATCGATACTATTTTTTATAGCTGTAGACTCTTGAGTAGTATTTGTGAATGAAATGTGCACTTTACAGTATAGGTGCGGTGATGTTTTGGTTTTTGTTGGTTTATAGAACAAATCAAAGACTGATACATCGGCTCTGGAAGCTAGAAATGACAAAGACATTCAAGGTATTCCGTGGGAGAGGCTCAATTTTAGCAGAAGGCAAGTATTGTGAATAAAGGCTGAAGCAGTACAAAAATTATGGTTAGGGATTCAAAATTTAGTAACTTTTGAGAAGAATTTTTTACCAGTCGCGAAATCTAGTAGTAGTTGTTCGACGGCTTCCGTTGATTCTCCTATTCAATTTGATCGAAAATCGCAAAAATAGTACGATTCAATTCGAATCAAAAGAATTGCACGATTTATTTTATTATTTTTTTCAACTCTATTTTTAGTAAAACAATGTCGTGTTGCTAGAAGAGGCTCACTGTCAAATATAAAACTTGCACTTCTCTTTATATCTCCTATTCAAGTATAGGTGAACATCACACAAAGATGACATCTCCTTTACTCTAGATATGTTTCTTCTTCTTATTCAAAAACAGTTACCAAACACTAACATACATTTTTTCTTCTTCTTCTTCTTCTTCTTCAATAAATGTTCTATTTTTTTATTTTTCATCAAAAATTTAATTTTCAATTGAATGTGGGAAATGATTTTCTAAGTTTATATGAACTTTTTCTATTTTTGTTTAACTTAATTGATATGGGACAATAACTATTTATTGGTTAAAAATTATGCACCTTTCATCGTGACCATTTTGAGGAAATGATTTATTATGCATTAAGAAATAAGTAACAGATTTACAAACTTAAGTGTAAACTGTATAAAGATTTATAAATACTATCATTTTTCTATTTAGAGGACGTAATTATGTCAACACCGACAATTGATTATTTTTAAAGTATAAGAATGTTCAATATTTAATATCTTGCCCACGTACTTTAGATATGTACTTGTTATTTTTTATTATTGTTCGATTTTTGTGTTGAAATTTACAATTTTTAATTCAACACATTTTTCGATTCTCAAATGTATGATTAAGATTCCCAATACAAATATAGGTTGCTTCTTTTATCTTGCAACTTTATAGTTTATAGCCTCATTATTTCCAGTAGAATATGTCCAGGAGTTTCATTACTGTTTTGAAGAGATCAATCAACACCATCTTCCAGATGATGGCACTGGAAATAAAAGCAGTGAAATTAGATGCTGTAAGATGAGTGGAATGTGACGGTGCTCTTGCGAAAAAATTTCTAATTTTAAAATCGCTCATCTGAGAGAAGATAAATAGATTGAACCGTTACTCTGGGTCATCTTCTTTAGCACATCTATAGGAGAGTTCGTTCTCTAGCAGTGAGATGGTTGCTGATTGATTCAGCCTTCAGTTCCAAAAAAAAAAAAAATTAACTATCTCGGTAGAAGAATAGTGATGTACAAGTAACAACAACCTGTTTATTTTTCCTACCTTTGAAAAACTGGTTGCATATAGCCTGCAGGATTGGGTACTTAAACCGTAGTATGCAGACCATCGGAACCTGTAGTATTTCATTATAATAAGGGAGAGTTACACAAATACCTCCTGAGGTTTGTCACTTAATCATTCAGACCCCATAATATTTAAAATATTACATACAAATCCCCTTAAAATTTGTATGCACATAACACTTAGATCTCGGTCATCTGTTAATAAATTATACTCAGACCCCCTGATATTTATAGGCGTGTAATACTTAGACTCAAGTTTAAAATATTATACTTAGATAAAAAATACTCCAATAAAAAATAGAATAAAAAATATTTTAAATTTTATAACTAAAATTCATATTCTATTATGACATTTATTAAAATAAAATAAAAAATAAAAAATTAATTTTTCTTTAAAAAATATAATTAGTATACAATTATACTATCTATTAACCAAATTAAATTATCAAATTATCCCAATTAAAATTAGAAGATATTGCGTTCATTACAGTTTGACCCCTTATTTGATTTTTTTAATTTTATTCCAATAGATAATGTAATTATGTAATAAAAATAGATTTTTGATTTTGATTTTATTTCAACAAATAATACAATAGAACATGACTTTTGGTTATAAAATTTAAAATATTTGATATTCTATCTTTTATTGGAGTATTTTTTGTCCAAGTATAATATTTTAGACTTGAGGGGTTTAAGTATTATATACCTACAAACTTTAAGGGGTCTGAGTGTAATTTACTAACACATATCAGAGATCTAAGTGTTATGCGCATACAAAATTTAGAGAGCCTGTATGTAATATTTTAGATTTCAAGGGTTTGAGTAATTAAATGATAAATTTCATAAGATCTGGATGTAATTCTCCTTTATAATAAATGAGGTCTATATCCACAAGTGCAGTATTGCCCGATGAATTTGATTTTGAACAAGATCAACAATTTGTATATTTTTATTTTATTCGAGACTATGCTAATTTTCATAATTCCCTTAGATGTGTGTTTTACTTAATTTTAGTTTTTTTTTCATTTTGCTTGGAAATTATTTTTTTAAGATTAGTGATTTAAGACCATTTTTGAAACCTTTAGGGATTTGAGGATGCCTATAAATTATTATATGTACTACTTGTTTTATTAAACTAATTTTTTTGTCTATAGATTTAGAGTGCGTGTTTTTTTCAATTCGGGACGGTGATCTCTTTATGTTTTTCTCCATTTACTATTATGTCAAATGGTATCAAAGTCTTGACTAATTTGACATGATTTCTAATTAGTGGAGTGACAATTTTTTTTGTAAAAGTTATTATGCAGAAAGGGCTCTTTTGAGAGCCAACTTCTTTAGTTCTCAACGTTCGTCTGAGCACGCCTATCATAAGTTCCATAATCTGGTTGTTTAGTCATTGTTTGGAACAATCAGGATCCAAATTAGAATAGGGTTTACAACAACGATAGGACTCCTGTTCAATTTATTCAAACTCTCAATCCTAATCCTATCCCCATTAGAATTCAACTTATTTGTAATGTGGATTCCATAATGATGATGAAGAGTATGCTGCAGGCATGTTTAGTGGCTAGGATTGTATTAGAGGTTGAGTCTAATTTTTTTTTTTTTTAAAGTTAACCTACTCAGTTTTGGTGGTTATGTTAACAAAGAAGATTTAAAGTTAACCCACTCAGTTTTGGTGGTTATGTTAACAAAGAAGATTTTTTTGATTAGTTATCCAAAGTAGAACGATTTTTTGATTATGAGATTCCTGATGAGAGAAAGGTCGGTTTAGTGGCATACAACTTGAAAGGCATGACTTATCAGTGATGAGAACATTTGAAATCATCAAGTGCAAATCAACAAAAATTTGAAGTTAGCAAAAGATGAAGCAACTATTAAAAACGAGATTTGCACTTTCATATTATAATCCGTATGAAGATAGAGTATAAGTATAGTGCATATTGATTCATAAGCAAACAAAGAGAGTTGAAGCAATCGGGTAAATCATTGGCGAAGATAAAAATTTTATTTAGGGTGGACACTTTAACTATAAACCTAATTTTTTTTCTTTCACTTAATAAAAGTAATATAGCACATTTAAATTTAGTATATTATATTTGATACTCAAAAATTTGTTATAGTTCAACATCGATATGCATAGCATAAACAAAAAAATTAATGAAAAGAGACTAATTATAATTATTTATAATTGATTTCGATAAGTTTTCATACTTTAAAAACGTTGTATGATAACTTCATTATTCATATTATGGAGAATATTTTTCTCTATATAAATAATTGACTCATTTGTTTGATTATGTAACTTAATCTTCACAATTTTTGTAACTTAAAAACTTAAATTTGACATATCAAAAACCTGTCTAGATGTGTCTGTAATGTAAAGTGTGTTAAAAAATTTATAGTTAATTAAGTGTTTGTTTATACTACTTAATAGAACAAGAAATTGATAAATTTGACATAAAATATATGGGCACCATGAAATATACCAAATTTTTTTAGAATTATATAGGTAATAGTTTTAAAAAAAAATTAAGGGTGGACCTATGCCCCGAGCCACTAGTGGCTCCGCCAGACTGCCACTGAGTATAATATCAATTAGTGTGGGGTTTTCAAATAGTTCGACAAATCAAAAAAAAAAAAAAAAAAATATTGAATCTAGTGAGGAGATCGACTGGACTTATGGTAATATAAGGGAGCTTCTTGAAGATTCTCAACATGAGAAACATGAAAATAATACACAAATGATCTTATGAATTTTGATGAGAAGAAAGACAACAAAGTCTTGGTTGATTTTCATGAAACGCGTAATTCTTTGTTTGTAATGATGTGCAAACTTGTGATGCTGTTAGAGTTTTAGAAAGTAATAAGACTTTTCTTTCTGTTGAAAAATAATTGGATGTGTGTGAGCATCACATGGATGCAAAACTACAAAAACAAAAGACAAAAATTTTGAGATTGTTGGCGTTAGTGATAAAAATGAGAATGACTATAAATTGCCTTATTTACTATAGATTTTAATCAATCTAACATATATGATCATATTTTTGAGAATTTTCTCTTCTTTTTCTCTGTGAATTCACAATGTATATTATTTGCAGTTAGTGACGGCGATTTGTTTATATTTTCTCTATTTACTGTTGCGTCGTAATTGATTTGAGTTTTTTTACATCAAATTAAAGTTTGAATTGATTTTTTTGAATATAAGCACTTATGGAAGCAGACATAAAGTCTATGTTGTAATTCTCAATCATTTCATGGCATCGGCGTGGCTGAACCATCTATGATGGGGGAGCCTAATTAGAGACTTGATTCAATTTAGCTGTTGAATTAAATGTGACTTATAAAATTAGATAGAACCAACTTCTAATTCAATGACTATACTGAATTAAGTTCTCAAATTATATCTCAATAATTTTTTTTTAAAAAAATAATAAGAGGAATATAATTAGATATATTTAACAAAATATAATACACAATGATTGGGCAAAATTATTGAGCGTGCGCACATGCCTACCCTAGTCCTTGAGAGGCTCCACCGCACACGTATGTTTGAAACTGAAGGTTTTTTTTTTTGTCTTGCATTTGAAATTGAAGTTAAAGGAACTGAAAAGTGAAAAATACGAGTCGAAAACATTTGAAAGACTGCATGGCATGCCTATTGGACTAACTGAAGTTGACTAATT